AGCATCTCTGTCATTGCAGGACTGTAAAGTACTCTCAGACATGATCTCACATGTGCTCTTCCTTCTGCTAGGCTGGGGATCAGGAATCTTTGCTAGCACTTATTCGCAGAGCACAGTGGACGGCCTCCCTTACAGCTGCCCTCATATCTCTGTTTCAGCTCCCCCTCCATTCCAGCCTGCATTCATCATAGGTAGGGATTAAGGGACTTTGCATAACAAGATCACACGGCCAGTGACTGATATCAAGAGAGTCCATATGCAGCCGCCTGGTTTTCTGAGGCACCCTCTGTCATTGATAGTGTGCGCTTGTGTGTGTGCGCATGTGGTGTGACTGTGCACAGACAAAAGCATTACCTATGTGTTTCATAGGAAGTGTATTTGAGCCGCAGTGACTCCTTTGGGATTCAGAATAAGGTGGACATCCACAGAGACTTCTGATTAGATCTCTATTACCTCTAACTCCCCAGGGCAAAGAGTCAGACAACCCACACTATCTCTTGCCCCTAATACCCAGCCCATGTGTGTGCTGGGGAGCACCAATATTAATCGAATGCTGTATTACAGCTGTGAATTAACACAAAGTCTCTCTGTTAATCCAGGATTACACACCAAACATGTTCATTGGAAAACAAAGAAAGTCAGCGCAGCCCCCTCTGCAGAACCATCTGTGGCCACCGGCCTCCCATGGTCACAGCACAGCGCTACAGTGGGGAAAAGAGGGGGATCCCAAATGAATAGCTGTGGATAGAAACACTTCATTGTGTGTTTAACTCTGTGATCCTCTTACTGGGGGAGCCCGTTACTCAGGGCAGAGCGATCACAAGTAGATACATTCTTTTTTTTACCAATACCAACTATGAGAAATCATAAAGTGCAGCAATAACAGGGATGCCTATTAATGTGTCCACCAAGCTGTCAAAAGCATTTTAAATGTAGAATTAGAGACACTACACAAATACAATTTAAACAAAGGCATATTTCTGCCATCTGTGTTGACATTAATGAAGACGCTTTGACAGACAAAACCACTAGAAAATAGAAGCTGTCTCTCAAAAGTTAAGAAGTGTTGCACAAGTTGTTATTGTCCTTTCATAACATCAAATGGGATGCATCATCAGGATGTAAACAATAAAATGCCCCTTGGAAATATCCCAATTTACTTTAATGGTTGTGATTCAAAGATAAAGATACTCTTGGTAATTTCATTATATATATTATATTTAACTTTATAAAAATGACACTTGTGTATTGGGAAAAAAAAGCGTTCATATCTTCATAAAAACGTTAACTGTCTTTTTTCCTTTGAAGTTATACAGCCAATTCTATTGGGTTTTGCCAAGTGTCGTTGAAATACCTTAGTGCAAACTAAGCTAATTTAGGAACAGCAGACAAAAAAACGTAGAGAAGGTGAAGTCAATAACAGCATATCAACATTGATACCTGATTAAACACGCATCATTGAAGCCATAAGGAAATATTCATAAAGGAATTACCGCTACTGGTCTCAAGAGATTTGAACCTGCCACTGGCTGAGGAGTGTTAATTGAAAAACATGGCCAGTCTATTAGAGTCACAAAGAGAATCCCAATCCAAACATCACATAAGGGCCTTGCAGTGGACTCCTTACACAACTAAATTAGGAAAACATGGGCTGAGAGAGAGCTGGCCAACAGGGGGGCTAAGAGGCTTACAAGCCCCTTGTCAGATATTCTTTTTCTCCCTGAGGATCCCAGATGGAAGGGAGTCTGGAGGAGCAGGCAGCACCAGAGAGGGGACCAATCCCACCTCTGATGTCTTCCTCTGGGCAGCAGAAGGCAGAGGAGGGTGGGGCATTAGTCCTGTTGCGCAGAGCTTGATTTGATCTTAATGTGATCTATAAAAGGGAGGAGGTTTGGAAACCAGGGGGGTCTGTTTCAACTATCAGTCCAATCAGAGATAATCCTGCTGGTTTAGACACAGACACCTGGCAAGATGGAGAGTGACAGATGTAAAAGTCCCAGTCACAGAGTACCATGTCTAGCCCCCATCTCCTTTAGGTCTGCCTTCTATCAGAAGCTTTATTGAAGCAACTGATCTCCATATTGCTCTTTTCATTGTTGCTAACGGCAACATAGCCGTGAAACAGCTGAGCGAGGTTACTATTTGAGGAGCTGAGGGTTTAAACCTACAATCAATGGGTCAGACAGAGCAAATAATAGCCAAGTGATATGAATACAACTGCTATGAATTGAAAGGAAGTGTGGGTTGACAGAGTCCCCAGCCAATTACATAGAATGGAAAAATCAGCAACTAAGCCTTATTGTATTGACCAAAGCGAATGCATGTTGCTGGCCTGGTGCTGAGAGAATTGAGAGATATTATCATGTGTTATATCAGATTCACAAAGGAGTTTGTGTTTGGCACTTGCCTGTTGACAACAATGTCCCATATATATTTGACAATAGCTAATGACAGATACCTCAACCTTAAGGCAAACCTAGGATTTTTAAGAATTGGATTTCCTTTCATTCTAAATGAATTACTTTCTCTTTATTGTCATTTTATTTTCTATCCTATAAGTCAAACTAAATATGGCTTGCTGTATTTCATGCCATATTAGCAACAAATCTAAATACAGCTTTTCAAAACAGGGGATGTTGAATAAATGGAAAAATCCTTTGACAACATCAGGTGGGTACAAAACCCATCCTATGCTTATTGTACTTGAGTCCTTAGAATATTACTTTACTTTTGTGGCTAAAATAACAAATAGGCTGCATGTTGATGATAATCTTGCATCCTCCGGATGCAAGAAGTGTACTGCTTCTCGCAGTTCTACACTGATGGCAGAATTACACTGAAGAAACCAAAACAATCTGACCAGGAAAAGTCTGACATGTTATGACTGCTGCCATTATATAGCTCAATCAGATACAGAGACTGATAAAACGGACAAAAACACTGCAGAAAAAACACCAACATGCACAGATTACATATTTAAAAAGGGGGGAAATTATGTTATTTTTCTACAATTAGGCTGCAGTATTTACACACAGGATTGTGCTACAGAGCCATGGGTTAAATTGGGATTCGAGACAATTGGAAATGAGGTGACTGGCACTGTGCAGAGGATGTGGAGAAAGTTTCCACAGAAATGTACTACATCCTGCACGTTGCACTGCTAAAGCCAGCTCTCCTCTGTCTGAGATGCAGGTCAGTCTCGCATCTTATTTGTCTCGTATAGGCTTTCCACAATGCTCAGTGTTGTCAGTCATGATATATTCCCTTGGTCTCCTGTCAGCACATATAAATCTCAACAGTGCTGTCAAAACAGCAGGACTGCCTCTGCTGAGAGCATTTGTAAAGTGAGCAGTTGGGCTATTGCCTCCTCGGGAGCCTTACACTGTCCTGTGATCTTGAGCTGCCTCTGGCCTATCTCAGCCACAAAAACGTTTGTTACAGCTGCCTTAAGGATTACACTGATCACTCATCACTCAGCTAGTATTAATAGTGGACATCATACACAATGAATGGTCATTTTCCCCTGTCAGCGGTTTGCCTGATCTGACAAACTGAGTATCTGAGTATTCTTAAAATATTAAAAATAGGTTTCCCTGATAAGTAGGCCTTTCTCACATCAGACATTTTGAGTTGTCATATTAGGAAAGAAATAATGAAAATGATGATGGCTATTGGCGTTTGAAAATGGCTTTCAATACAGCTAAATGGAATAGATCCATGATTCATTTAATGATTTACCCTCCCATAACCTACTATGATATTTGAAAATGCCTGTTAGCTGCAGAGTGCTGCATTATAATCCATACTTTAGCCCTAAACCTGTCTTACAAAAACATGAATAAGCTCAAAGTATTTTAGTTTTTGTTCATGTTGGAGACTTAGGCATACAAAAGAGTAGTCACAATGTGCAGTATTTAAAATAGATTATACAGTTAATACTTGGTTGTGTGTTGTAATCATGTAGGCTTGAATGTGAAAGTAACTAGGACATTTTAAATGTCCAAAAAGAGACAAAACACACAATAAACAAAGTCAAGATGAATTTAACTTAGAGTATGGAATACAAGTAAATTAGTTGTGTAGTGAAAACCTTACTCTGATAGCTCTGCACAGAAGATACCTTACCTAATATCAATTTACATGGAACTGCTACCAGGCACATATAGATGTTATATCTATGTCTTGCTGTTGAACTACATCATTTTAATATTTGCACAAACTGTAAATCATAAATGCAAAACGTTGTTTAAAAAGTCGACTTTCTGGTAGTTATGGCTGCTTTACATACAGGTGTGAGCTATGCAAGTCATTTACCTATTGCTGTGTGTTTTTAAAAGACTCAGATATTCTCCTTGTCACTAACAGTTTTAGTTTTCGGAACATTTAAGACACGTAAGGCAATCCATTATGCAACGAAGCAATTCAGTGTACGGCTGATTCCTGCATAATGAACCTAATGTCCCATTCATGAATGTGTAGTATGTTTTCCATTTTTACACGATAAGTCGAAGAATTGAATATTGTGCCAGCTTGTTCTTATGTAACACATTAACATTCAGTTCAATTGAAGTTATGTCTACTCAGGCTGTTGTACAAGAGATGGGCTGTGACTGTAAAATAAGGGGCTGCTTGTAAAACAGTTTTCAGGTTCTGTAATGTAATGAAATGAGCCAACAAGGTCAAAGCGACACACAGTCTTGAGTTAGGTGACTCTTTAGGCACGGAATAGCGGCGGGCCATTATAAAGAGCGCATAAGCTGACACTTATGTGAACAAAATAAAACATATAAGAAGTGACTTTAGCTTTACTTACCTACTGACTTAGTGTTTCAATGCTCCGACCATTCATTTACCACAACAACTTGAAAAATCACGTCCGTCAAACCTCTCACACGGCCCCACAACAATCTTTGCCCTCATTGGTCGAGCGCCACTAAAGTCTTCGGTGATTGGACAACACGTTCCAAAACATGAACAGGCGTCACCACGTTATAAACAGTATGGCTGCCCCCATGAGCAGTGTGGGTAAACCCTCAGCTGAACGATCACCGTTCAATAATACGAGTTTTCAGAAGAAAACAAGAAGCAAGTTAATCTCCATACCTGGTACCAGACCCTCGGTTCAAAATGGACAGCTCTTAGTCTCCACCGGTGTCACGTCACTCGACTATCTGCTCGGTCAGTCTGATGTTAGCATTTGCGCTAGCTACAAAGGCTAAGGTTAACTGTGCTTCTCTATGTAACGTTAGCTAAACCCTGAAGTTCAGCCTGCTAAAAATTAGTCGTATTACTTTATCAAAAGGGCAATGTATGATTCACACAGAATATGGAGTTTTGTCACTGTCAGGGCCATACAACCTGTCCAGAATTCAGTGAAATGCAATTTTAGCATTGTAGATACTATGTAGATTTAAGGCACATTTAGTTGGAACCTGTTCACAAACCACTATAATATTTGTGTTAAATTGAATGTAAGGGTATTTCATTGAATTCTACATAATCAGGAATTTTACATTTTATTTTTTGACTATGTTTAGATCCTAAATACGACTTAAAAGACAGGATTGTTTCTTGTAACAGAGCACTTTTTAAACTGTGGCAGTGCTACATTTACTACATTGTAAAATATATTTTTCCATATGCTGATGCCAAAAATGCGGAAGCTTTAAGCTCTAAAAGACCCAACAAACGGTATTATCCCTATTCTATCTCAACGCACAACTACATAACATAAAATCAGACCGCAAAACCTATATATCAAAACTAGACCCACATTAGCAGAGTGATCAACAAGTTATAATGCCTAAGTGTGATTAGGAGGAGTTTATCTGTATAAATGAAACAGTGTACCAATAATAGGATGCTAATATTTTAAGAGGAACATCACTGCTGTTGTTTCTAACGTAATTTAACTTAAAAGTATGTGATCTTTAAATAAGGTACACAAAAACTATTCCTATCCTCATTTGGTTTTTATTCTTGAAGCCTGGATGGGTATAATCTCTCTCTATATATATTTAGCCATATTTAAAGCAATACATCACAAGTCTCCAAACTTTTTATGGTGTATTTCCCCGTTATATAAAATAAATAAATCTTGCAAGTTAAGGTAATTGTTAGTCAGGACATTTTAATGAAATATTTAGAATTTCGTGTCATCATATCTGAAAAGGGAAACTATTCTCTTCTTGTGCATTTTGTATAACTTATGTTAGGATTTCTGACAGAAATGTAACAATGCTTTAATATAATCATTGTGACCTGCCTATTTGTTGTTGTTGTTGACATAAATAGCATTTTATTTGATCAATGTTATAGTTATTTTATATAACGTGATGCAAAATGTGCATCTCAACAGCTGACTCTTTTTTACTCTTAGCCTTAACCTTTTGAGGCCATTTTAGTTTTGATATTACCAGCCTTTACAATATCAAGCAGGACCAGTTAGCAATGTGGGTTAATTAAACATAGGAAACGTTTCCTGTGGATGTATTGTTTTAAGTGATCAAGGACTGTCCTGAAATGCTCTTAGTTTAGCAAAGGTCCTCGTTTTTTAACATAGCTAATACAACTCTTGCCATAACGGTGTGAAAGCCAAATGTCAGCTGTCTCTTCAGATGCTCACTTCTCCAATTGGCCATTTCCACAGGAGGCATTTTGACATGTCCCAGTAGGAGAGGCACAAGTGTAAATAACACAATTAATGATGGCCACATTCTTTTTATCTGCTTCAGTTTCAAGGTCCTGTTGTCATGCTCATTGTCACAGCTTAATTGGACACTTGCATATAACACAGCCTTTATTACTGTTATTATAAACATCTGTGCTTTTCCTACTATGACAAGTCAAAATGCCTGCTGTGAAAAATGGCTCTTTTCTTATAAAGATAAATCCGCAGCTGTGGAGACATGAGGGGAGAGTGAAGGAAGCAGCAGTTAGCCAAAGGGCGGCTCAAAGTGGTTCACATTGATCCAGTGCCTGTAATATGTGACTGATATAATTAAAAATACAATTTCCTTTCTTTTTACAGGTGGCGGGTTAGCAGTTGGAACAGTACTTCTCATAGGTGAGCTTGCGTGAGAAATTGAACAATAATTTAAAGGTCCTAATTAATGGAATGATGACTTTCTTAATCAAGCAATAGGTCACACAGGCCATGGTATGTTGTGAATATATCACAGCTAAGGGGGGTGTTGCTGGATTTCACTGTCCAATTTGTTTGCTTCAAAGTGTTATTTTTTTTTTTTTCTATGCTCTTTACGTAGCTATGCATGTTGTTTAGAAGGTGTTTTTTCTGGCTATGGGCTCTACACTATTTTGTAGCAGGTTGTTTCTAGGCTATCTAACACAGCCTTTGAGTGTATGGGACTCCATGGTACACAGTAGTCTTTACCTGAACGTTATTAAGCATCTTTTGTCTGGAGGCTTCATGAATAAGTTGAATGTTTTTAATGATTATCATAGTCCTTAGGTGAAACATTTTAATACCTAAAGCCATGTCCTTTTTGTTGCTCTCAACCGAACAATGAAAAACAAATTTGAAATGAATTACTGTTACAGTAAATGAAGATACCTTGGTAGACGTAAGTGCATTGGTGTTTAGAATCATCCATTATCTACTCTATTTAATACTCAATCCCAGAAAGATGCAAGAGTGCTATTCTTTTTCTGAAGCATTATAGCCTTCAGCTTTTTAGCAACTCTCTCAATAAAGAACCTGTGTAGATAAATTACACCCATAATTATAAATATGTTATATTCATGTGAAGCCAAACATCAAATATCAACCCAAAACAGAATTCAATAGCACTTTTTAGCATGCCACAGCTAATGATACTGCCTGTCTGTTCTCAGGCTCTTTGTGGTTAGTGTGTCACTGTCTATCAGAGTGGTAAATATTGTAATAACCTGAAGGTCTCTAGCTAGAATCCCAGGTGTTCACACGCACACTGTGATCCTTAATTGATATGCTCATCTGCATATGTTATGTAGAAGTTTTCGGAAGTACATTCAAAGCAAGTGGGTTTTCTAGACACATACATGTCTTCCACTGTATTATTATTATTATTATCATTCATCATAGGCTAGGCTATATGCACTGGCAGACAGTAAGGTTAAGGTATTCTTGTTTTCCCTTGAAGCTGTAATTTGTGTGTAGCAAAGGCCTATACCAACTGATGATATTGCTTTGCCCTTTAATTCACCCCCCCAATCGATGCAGGAGTCAGTGATTATACACTAATGCGTTCTTCCCTTCCATTTTGGGAATCAATGCACGGTTGGTTTCATCTGGTAATGAGAGACACAGTAAAGGTGAAATGCGTGTGTGAGCTCTCTTGTGTTTGTGTCTCTGAAAGCGCAATGTGTGTGTGTGGACAGTAGGCTGTCTGTGTTGTTGTGTTTTTTGAATGGGTGTGATGGGGTGGGGGGTAGTTTGGAGTGTGTGTTTGTTTGTGTTTCAGGCAGTCGTCTCCTACAGTCTGCCCCTTTAGCTGTGATGGCCTGTTTGTGAGACACGGACATAAAATTATCAGGCTGGTTGTTGTCGGCTTTGAAGTGTCTTGAACTGTCCTTCCAGATTTGTCAACTCGAGGGGGATCCGCTCAGTATGGCCGCTGTCTGAAGATCTCTCATCTGGTGTTTTTGTAATAGAAGGAACAAAGCTTCTTATTATGTTGACCATGTACGCTTTCATTCCATTAGTTTAAGTTAATGTGTTTTCCCATTAACGTACCCATAATAATTACTTTTAAATGTGGCCTATTTGTTTTGTGTTTAAATGTTTCAAAGCTGTGAAGTGCACTTTGAATATTAATTAATCTTATATTTGGGCATATTTATTATTGATGTAGAAAACACTGACAAATGGTTTGAAAGTAGTTCATCATAATTATAACCCTGACAAAATAAATAGAACTGGTTAGAAAGTAGAATAAATATGTATATAATAACATGAGGTGCAGTGAATGTTACCTACTTTATCATAATTACTAACACTTATATAAAGGTAAGCTATAAAGAAACCATAACAAAAAATAAACACAATCAGAAAAGATACTAAGACAACTGAAGACATTTAAAGCACAAGTACTGTACATGCAATACAATAAAATGTTTGTAAAAGCAATTAAAAATACACAACAAGAATAGATACAAGATAATAAACAACAATGTTCTGACAAAGACAAACAAAGGTTACGTGTTGAAGCTTGAAATGTGTCATACATATACAGTTCATCGGTCTCAAGAGATGCGGCTGATTGGTATTTATGACAGCTTTGTAGTAGTACGTTGTTTTAATTACTTTAAAGATTAAGGGCTTTCTTTATTAATTGTCTAAATTGCATTTACCTGCCGTATGGCCTAAATGAGGCTTTCGGCTTCTCAATAGAAATGATATAGACCGAAGATTCATACAAGGGGGAAATCACCCTGACCTAGATATTTTGTCTCCTCCCCCTGCGGCTTCAGCAGATATGATTCAGGACTCTCGCCTGTTTGAAGGCAAATGAAGCAGAGGCGTTTCCCCCCTCATCCAAACCATCGTCAGAATCTGCCAAAAAAAAGAAGAAAAAAATCATCCCATGACTGTCCAGAGTGACTGATCTACCTCAAAGATATGACCGTCCCCCACCCCCTGTTGCTTGTATACCCCGCCACCTCCCGCCCCCTCCCTTACCCCCCGCCTCAACAGCCTAATGACTCCTGGAGGTTCCATTTGTAAGGCTCCCATAGAAACACAGCCACAATAGGCCCCATCTTGAGAGGGCCCATCTGGGAGTCTTTGTGGGGCCTGCTGAAAGCCACAAAGGCCTGCTGACCTAGAAACCCATCAATAAGAGAACAGGGAGCCCCACCGACAACAAATTGAAGAGCCCTGGAATTTCCTGTGCCATCCTAAGTCCGTAGGTGAGGACATAGACCGGGAACGTGGGAGGGGGGAATTCTCCGGATGTTTAAGGATGACACGTCAGGATGTCATTCCCAAGCTGTCAGCTGTATGCCCATTACCTTAAACTGTCAGTGCTGCCTTTGTCCTTGTGCCCACTGTTTGTCATTGTGCGGAAAGGGCTATGAAATCTTTACAAAATGACGATTGTGACAGGAAGCAGCAGCGGCATGCTGGGTAGAGTTATGTGCCCTGTTAGTAGGGGGGTTCATGGTGATGATGCACGCATTTTTTGTGAGTTTGGCTTGTGGAATGACTGGGTGGCCGCTTTGTGTGCACCGAGAAAAGGATACCTTTGGGAAAGTATGTTCATTTTCAGAATCGCTTGTCTGTCCATTTAATGCTTTAATAAGCACTCCTCTATATGAGCCTGTAAGGTCAGCTCTACAAGATGATATTTACTCTTTCCAACTGTGTTTAAAAGTATATTGGGTAACTTGTCTTTTCTAACCTACTTTCATGATAATAAACACACCTGATGTAAATGTTTGCCAAAACATAATGAAAGGTTGCCATTGCCATCAGAGTTCACACAAAAAGCAGAAAGATTCAACTGAACCAGATGTCGCAAAGCATTTTGAAGATAGGAAATATCTTATCCTGCTTCTGCCTCCTCTTGTCAGTTTCCCTCCTAACTGGGGTACCTTTGTGTTCAGGGGGAGGTGTCAGGTGAATGCTTAAGACAGGTGTCTCCCCCTCACCTCCGCTGCGGGTTGGGTTATGATAGGTGAAAGTGGACAGGAATACTGTGAAGACCTTAACAAGAGCATTAAAGATGTCAGCTCCACTCTGATAGTCAGGTCACACAATAACACCCATGTTTCTGTGCCATGTCGATTCCCACTTCATCTCTTCCCTTCAAAAGATAGCTCGAAGTGTGGTCCTTATATCAATTAGGGTTAGCGATTATGATGTGGTCATAAACTTCCGGATCTGTGGTGTCTGAATGAATGTTCAGAATGAGACCAGATCCAATGATAGTTTTGAGAGTGATATATTTTTCTCATAGGGAAGATGTTCTACCTAGTTTATCACTGAAACGTGTAGTTAGGCTTTGTTGGCAGTGTTAGAAGTATGACATTGAATGTGTGTTTATTTGAGCTTTCCCACTCACCCTGAATTTGTATTGTTGTTGTCTTTTGTTTCTTTTATTAGAGGAAGACCGATATGATAGCTACTCTCGTATGATCCTAAAATACTTCCTGGCAGAAGGAGTCGTGTGTCGGCATGAACTTTATGTGGCGGCGGCTCAGGATAACCCAGATGACATCTTACAGGTATGAGAGGAAATTATTTATACCTCAAAGTGTGATTTATTTTAAAGCTGCAAGTTTTGACGAACCATCCACCAAGAAACAAGCATGGCCTCAATATGTCTTCTATAACATCATCCCAATAATACATTTTTTGTAAACTTTTGTTTACCTTTTCGTCATCAGAGTTGGTTGGTATATTCTGTCTACTTGTATTATGTTATTGTCACAATATATGAATCAGTTCCTGCTGTACAGTATTCATCCTGGTTCCTGCTGGTCAGACCATGATTTAAAAGACATTATCGGCGCACAGCTTTCCCCAAGATGTGTCAGGGTCAGCGGGGGTATCTGAGAGGTCGAGGGTGGCATGGTTGTGACATTGTTGAAATGTTTCCCGATGCATCACTCTGTGAAGAGGAACGTCGCCCCAGAAGCTGACTGCCACCCAGCATACAGGAGGAGGGCCTCTCTCCCACTGATTGATAGTGGGAGGGGTCACAGCCTCACCCTCTCTTTACATATCAAAGGCTTATTAAGAGAGGGGACTCCCAAAGGGGATATATCACATCATTTAGTGTTTTCACAGCTACATTCACAGTATGCTAATCTTCAGATGCTGAGGTTGTACTTTATGCATTACGTTAACATGCACACAAAAAACAAGCTTATTGGAAATCATTGAGTTAAAGCAGAACATTTGAGAACGGGTTCACACCCACGCTTTCTTGCATCAACTAATATATCAGATACCCCCACACATAGCTAATAAATCAGTATTCTATAAGAAAAGTATTCTTTCCGTTATATCGAGGTTTTACAAATTGCTTCAATACAATTAAAGAAACGTATTGTCTTTTTGTTTTATTTTAGAGTTATGGTTACTTTCAAAAGCTTACACTGAAGTGCATGTACATTATGCACCAACAGAAAAGACTCTGTGATGGTCTTTGATGTCATATGATTTTATGACCATATCTCCTGACCATTCACAATCAACAAGATTTACACTTTTTATATTAATTGTATCATCTGGTGCAGGAACTCCCGGCCCCCATCCTGGACGATGTTGCTATGCACAAACCAGCCGAGCAGCCCAGGCTGTCGTGTGAACCTCCAGACGGTTTGGACGCCATGAAGATCGCCTGGCGCTATCAGAATCTCCCGAAAGTACAGGTAATCAGGTGATCACATGACAGTTTACTGTACATTGTCTGTTTTTATAATGGAATATATATTAGAAAATAGGTAACTTGTAATTATGCTACTTTTTAATAAACTTCCTAAAGTTGTCTTTGTTAATGATTATATGAGAAAGAACAGCGCTGGCTCTCTGGTCTTAGTGGTTTGGCAATTGTCTCTACCACTAAATCCATCAGCTTCTAAACTCCTTTGTGGAGTGAATGAGGCCTCAGCCTCTCCTTTCAGAGCTGGACCAGATTACTCACACTTAGCTGGCAATAGGTAGGCTTTTCACTGGTCCCCAACTCACATAGACACACATACACACACGCCTGCACCCCTGCTTAGCCTGGGAAACAAGAGTACTTTGCAGCCTGTGCATTGACATGTCTGCTCGCTCAACCCCATGACCCAGACCTGCGCCTCTGTCTTCCCCCAAATCCCTGCCTTTCCCCCTGCTAGGGTCGGCAGCCCTACACTCTTTCTTCCGCTTTGAGGAGAGGTGACCCTCCCCTTCTACTTCTCTGCAGTCTCCCCCCTTCAGTCTATAATCCATATCGCTATGTGGATTAACAGCACACAGTGTATCCCTGGGGATCCTCTCCCTCTTTCTCTCTCCCTGGAAACTTCTTTATATCTGTGTCCTTTCCTCACCTCTCCCCCTTCCCCTGTAAAATCGTCTTTACAAACCACTAGTAAGCCCCACCAGAGGATTTGCATCCCAAATTCACCCCCAGAGTCAACGCTTACTTTCCCCTTACACACACCTCTCCTGGCATAGCCCACTGTTTCGCTCTCCCGATGAAGACATCAGATCAAAGGTGAGGCCGCCAGGGCGGGGATGGAACGCTAAGCGGGTTGCCTGGTTCACAAAGAGAAGATGAGCCCCTGACCCCCCTGCCCTGCTGACCCCCTCGTCCCGCCAGGAGAGGGACACACCGGGGGCCCTAATCCAGATTAGGAGTAGATTAAGGGCCCCTCTAACAATGGAATCCCTGGTTTCACTCTGAGAGAAGAGCTAAAACTCTCTCTTTCAGCTGCAGGAAAACATCCGCCTTCCCCTGCGTCCCTGACACGTTTGCTTTCACAGCCAGAAGTGGACATTTATGTGAAGAAATGATTAAGACCGTGGTCGTAGTGGTTATTTAACTTCTCTGCTTATGGAAAGTTGAGGGAATGACCCATAAACAATTCAATTGCATTACCATAGTATCGTGAAGCACACTCATTTAAAGTATTAAAAGACAAGTGAGATAATTATTTAATAGATTGCTTTTATTGTCATCTGATATTAGTTAAATGCAGATTAGTTTTAGTTAGAAACAATCAGTAGCGTCAGACGGGGATGAATGAAAATACATTAAAATGCTCTTGAATTAAAGTTCTTAAGTCTCCTTATGCCTTGACATGAGTTTGACTTGTTGACCTCCTCAGACTGCCCTGGCCTCTTCATCCCGGTTCGGGCACTACTATGACGTTTCCAAGACGATGGAGCCAGAAATTCGCCAGGCAGCCAAGTGCCACCGCTTCTACCTTCCAGAACATCCTACCCAGTCATCACCCCCGCACAGGTAAAACGACAAGACATCATCCACAGAACGCATTGAAACCAATGAGACACCGTCTGCATAACACAGGCACACAAACACGACATCATCCACAAAACACAGACGCACAAATAAGACATATTCAACAGAACTCTGGTAAACAAACATGGCATCGTTCACAGAATACAGGTAAACCAACAATGCAAACAGACCAACGTGTTTTAAAGACGGTATACTTTATAATCCCTGCAAGCAGCATGTGTCTTTGAGAAAAGTCAACCTGAGAGGCAAAAACTCCAGATTTATCCCCAGTATCATGAAGAGCCCTTTGTTTTAGACATTTATAATAATATAATAAACTGGCGGACTGCAACTAATGCAATTAAAGATTGTTTTCCTTATCAATTTATCTTTCAGAATGTATTGTTTCATTGTTTTTTCTATATAATGTCAGAAATAGTCCGAACAAATATTATAATAGGAGAAACAATATAATATTAAAAGCCAATATTAATATATTACTATTTTATATTCCAGCTTGTTTTGTCTGAGGAACACTCCAAAAGGCAAAATACTTTCAATTTTTTCAATGTATTAAATTGTTAATAAAACAAAAACAAAAATGTTATAAAGCTGGAGCCAGTTTTTGTGTATTTCTGATGGAAATATTACTTATATTATTAACAAATGTCTGTGGTAGTTGCTCCATACATTGTTTTAGACCTAAAAATGTACAGCACAGTGCAGTCTGTTACTGAGATTCAAATTGCTTAAAATAATGAACATTTTAATCAATTAAGGTGAAATCTAATCATCCACGTTATTAATCCTATCCTTATTTCTTGTTTGAACAAAATATTATTTTGTTTTGAAAATAAATAAATAATTAAAATATACATTTTTTCACACATACAGCGGAAAGACATCAGTTAAACACCTGCTTGGTCCATCCTCTCTTCTAAGTAGTTTGCCTTTGGCTTAAGACATCCAGCCTCTTGGAAAGGTTGTGTATGTCTATTCAAATAAGGGTCTTGTTTGCTCAGCGTCTGTTTGATTTCTCCTGCGTTGAGTGTATTTAAGGTTCAGAGGTCATACGGGCTCTTTACTTAGAGAGTGCTGTTGAACACACAAGGGCACACGAAGCCTCACTCACACACACTGGGTAAATACAGCAATCTGGAGCACAGAGGATGTGGAGGAGGCTTTATAAAATCCCTCTTCCTTTATTTCAGCAAACAGAGAATGTTTAACAGCACACCCAAGCAAACACATTAAATGTTATGGATATTCAGTTTAAAGTATACATTTTCGAGAGTGGACCATAATGTGAAGTGATACTCTATTTTACTAAATATCAGGTCAGAACTTAAACATTTCTATTGATTGGGAGAAAATAAAATAACAAAATATCTTCTCCGTTGATGTCTGAAGCCCTGTGTCGCAGTGTAGTGAGTAGGAGTGACATGATGGTACTGTTTGTGTCTGAATGGCTTCTAGATCTTACAGACATTTTGACAGCAGGAAACTACACCTGCACCACACCATTGTGCCCCCAGCACCGCCCCAATACTGACACACATACATACACACACTCACACACACACACACACACACTCGGCATATTACAGACGCACATGTTCCACACAAACTCCTAAGCAGGCTACTCCCCCTTGCACGTGTCCACAGCCCCATGTTGATACCCTAGCTGTTAAATTGCTCCGTTTCACTTGAAGGCATAATTGGCACAAATTGCTCTCTAGGTGATACAGATCCTGTTGTTTAAGACCAAGCATCCCCCTTCTCTCCTCCTTTCTTTCCTTGCTGAAAGAGAAACACTGAGATAAAGAAGCGTCCCTGTGTATGATCCTAATTAGCTGGCGCACCAGCCCCTGTAGCTAAGCACCTAGACCTTTTTGGTACCTGAATGAGGAGTGCTCGGTAGGGGTAGCTAAAACACAATACCATCCCACACAATGGCTGCCAACCAGAGGCAACCTCCTGCTTAACTGCATGTCAAACCATCCCAGCCCCCTACCTCAGAGCAGGGGCATGGGCAGAGAGGCCAAGGAGGGTAGGTGTCCCTCTTTCACCAAACCAGCTCTATCATTAGCCCCAGCAGGGTCAGGAGGCACCATTGTCAGGCTGAATAACTGAAATAGAGTACATGGATGTACTTGGCGCAAGTGTAATCAACATAAGTGTGTATTACTGTTCTTTATGCAGGGCTATTGGCGTGTGACCAATCTATGTGTATCAGCTTTTGTAGCCTGCAGGTCGAATTGACAACTGACATAGCTGCCCACTGTGACTCTCTGCAGAGTGGTCATTACAATGGTGGGGCGTTCTTAAGTTGACGGACCTTAGTAAAAACATGGGGTTAACATTGTCTGTCTTATAGGTCCATGATGGGCTCAGCAGTAATCCTTCCCCTGACTGTTTCTAAATGTGGCTCTGATGGTACTGTAAGCCCTTTGTCAGTAGTGCACATCTTACCCCTGATTAAACACCAAAATGCTGTTCCTTGTTAATTTTAGATATCAGCCCATTAATCTCCCCCCCCTCCTTCTCACTTATCGTCTTTGTTGTGTGTATGTTTGTGCATATGCACGTCTCATCTGTCTGTTTGTCCGTCTGTCTCGGCACAATCAGATCCTCGGGGAGCTGACAGAGAACCAGTCATGTTGTAATTTAATCAACCAAATAAATTAATTGGATCTCTTGATATGGATCATCTGTCTGCCTCAGTAGCTCCAGAAAAGCACAGTCAGGAGGAACATACTGCAGTCATACAGGATTAAGCTACTGCGGTGAAAGGCTTGGCCCAGTTTTATCAAAATGCTTTTAATTACAGTTAACACGTCTGAAGTAACCCCTTTCTTTGTGTTCTCTTTCTGGTTGTCCCCTCCACTCTCTCGTCTGTCCTGTGCTCTTTTCAGTACCATGCTTGAGTCCTACTCGGCGTTGCTGAAGTCTCTTCAAGAGGTCATAAACAGGGAGGGCTTTGATGTAGCAGCCCCTATGGTAAGAACCAGAAGTGATGATCCACTTTGCATTTTCTTCTTTCAGCCTGATTAAAGGGTTTTTACATATATTTTTAAACTTTTTTTAAATGTGTATCTCAATTGAAAACCAACACACCAAACAGCAAGGGTATATGTTTGCAGCTAAAACAGCAGGCAAAGCAGCTGAACAAGAAAACATTTCAACTTTAGGCCAAGATCTCTTCATGTTATGGGATATCAAAGCTTCAACCATCATGCTGTTTAGTTAGACTGGAGTGTTAAAAATAACTTCAGTGTGGTTAAATGATTTGACGCTATATTATAAACAAAAAGCACCTACCACTCATATTTGATCACACATGTCAATTTCCATGATCACAAGTTTACATTTTTTTTTAAGTAACGCTGGAGATGGACAGGAAATAGGGAGAGTTTTTAAACAGTTCCCCTTCCATTGTTTGTGGATTTGGCTTTGGCTCTTACATTGGCTAAAAAAACAATGCTGAAAAACAGTAGACATGCAGTAAGCTGCCGCTAGCTGTGAAGCAACACAAAATGTGTGTGTGCATTTATTCTTCTCATTCACTAATTGTTAAATAATGTGAACTCGTTGACGTTCTGGTGCTTACAGGTTTGTGTTTCAAATGTGTGCTTCCAAGCGTGCTAATTATTATAAGCCCAGTCAAACTATTGTGCTTTTAAAGTATCATGTGTGAGCCGCATTCGAGGAGCAATTTTAAAAGAGAGAAAGTAAAACAGCGTCTGTGACCTGCAGCTCTTCTGTCACATTCCAACCACCACTTGTCTGGAGTCTGTTCACCTCTCTGTCACCTGCTCGGGTTGGGCCTCACCTGTGTGTGTCTTACCTTTGACATACATCTTTTTAATAATCATCAGTCCCTTACAGAATGCCAGAAACAACCATGGCCCCTTCTGTTTCCCACAGGACCCAGTGTAATCCTCTTAACACTGTGATGTGCCTGTACATATGGATACGGGACGAGTGTTTGTGTGTGTGTGTGTGTCTGCGCCTCCTGTGTCTTATTCACCTACTTTCGATGACCCCTCTGCTCGTCACCTGGAGCCACCTCTCCCCCTGTCAATCTCGCACAGGGTTTACCTCCAATACCCCCCACCCTCCCTCCCCAAGCGCTGTCACTCACACGCCAGATTAACTGCTGACATCATTAAAGCAGTGTGGCCGCCTGACATGCTGTTGGCACAGTCGAGGAATGCAGAACGGCACAGAGCGACATGGGCACTGGCACAAGAATGCCCAGTATGGGTGATAATCAGTGTGAGTGTATATGTTTATTTGTGATTCTGCCATTATGGACTGGTAACAAGATGCAGATTTGATATAAACCGTGTAATGTTAATATACAGATTACATCAAGGGTTAATCTCCCAGAACATTGTTTTTTGGAGTCTTTTGAGATGAATGGGACAGGGGTGGCAGCAGGACTGTGAGTCTGCTCAGTGATTGGCTGGTGATTAGGTTGTGGTCCCAGGCTGGCTGCAGTCTATATGGCTGGCCTCGGTTCCTTGGCTGGACTCAACTGGCACTGTTCCCTGATTTTTCTATAGGCTAAACTATAGGAGTTAAGTTTGGCTTCTCCTCTTGGTGCCACAGCAACAGTCGTGTTACCACAACCCCCCCCTGCTGGGCTGCAGACATAGAAATCGAATTCGTATTCTCTGGCCCCCCAAGACCTGCGTAGGCAAAGCCTGTTAAACAAAGAAAGGGCATATCTAACAACCACAAAGGCCCACACAAAACACTTACACTTAAGTATAGTAAGGTATAGAGATGTAGCACTGATTTGGAATGCCGTAGCGGAGGATAAATGTAGTCCGGTGTGAGAGTCCTCCTTTGGGAAACTATGAGCCAACTGTGGAAAACTCCAGAAACAATGGGGTTTATTTTTCTTAGATGCCTGTGATTCTGATCCAGATCCAAACGAAGCTTAGGTCATACTGTTGGGAGAGGAAGCGATGGGGAGTAGGGTAGAGGAGATTTTGGGAGGGTTGAGATAATAGAGGGGGAGGGATGAAAGAGAGGATAGGCTGGGATTTTAAAAAAAAAGGAAAAAGTGAGCAGATTTTGGGCCAGAGCTTTGTTAATCACTCTTGGCTCTCACCTCAGTAATCAGGAGCCACCCTGAAGAAACTCCAAATAAAAGGCAATTGTAGGAAAGGTTAAAAACCTCTCACAGTTTGGACAGCTCCTCCATTCTCTCAGTTTCAGTGATATATATCCCACCACTGTTTGGCCACTTTTTCTCTGTCTTCATGAGAGTGGGTTACTGTTGATCTCTTATGGTGGGTTGGGGGGGTTGTTTCAAGGGAAGGCACTCCACCCTTACCCAGGCCCCCTTGGCTGCAGAGCATCGCTGTTGTGCCAAGAATGTGCTGGGGTTTCTGGGTGGCGGCCATATTGGAAGCCTGTCTGACAGGTCCATTGTGTGTGTGTCAGATGGCCTCTGTGATTGGGCAGTTGTGTCCAGTCACGTTTGGGCACCGATCGTCTGTGCTGGTGAGCAGACTGTCCAGTCGCTCTCTCCAAGAGTTTGGGAATAGTACCCATAACAGCACCTTTCCAAAATATTCCAAAAGCAGCAACATTTAAATCTTCAGATGCACTGGGAGAACTTTAAATAAAGAAAAAGTGTATTACTGCATGAGTAGAAAGTTACATTTTTGATTTGCATTTTGGTTTTCCTGACCCCTTCTTTGTGCTTCTTCTTTCTCATAGTCAAATTCACGTAACATCCTGCGAATCGGGCTTCACTCTCTTGGCTCGGCTCTGTGGGGTGATGACCTGTGTTGCCATGACAACCCTAAAAATGGCCGCGCCCTCACTACCTTTCTCTATGGACTGCGTGCTTTGCTGAGGTCATCGCTGTCAGTGGCGGTAGTTACTGTGCCTTCACATCTCATCCAGGTAAGACTCTTTTTTGACACATGAACAACAACTCTGTGCAGTTCACAAGCATTCAGGATGCATTTATATGATCAAACATTACATGCTGACCTGATATATAACTGATGTATACACTTTTGATGCTAGTTTTAAAAAGTTGATAACAGTTTGTCATTCTTTTCTAAAATGTGTGGTGCTGATATAATACCTCGACATCCAAAGTTTACAAATCATAACTCCAGTATGTTTGCATTATTCAATTCTACTTCTCTTTGTCTTTGCTTCTCTGCTGTGTTTTAAACCATCACCGCCAGGGGGGATTAATAACGAACTTTGAATTGACTTGAATTTACAGATAATAGACAGTTTGGATTTTTGGTGCGTGGTTTGATGTTTGGCCCATGTGCCTTTTCTTTGTCTCGTTTCGTTAATGGGAAACAAAGTTTGAAGTCTTTTGTAGTGGGGCCTCCTCTTGACCCTGTAGTTCAGTGTCAACCTGGTATGACTCAGGCCTGAGCGGGGGCCTCTTCCTCACGCATCGCTCTCCCAACAGATCCAGTCGAGTGCACACTTCATTCAAAGGCCTCTAGATCTATGTTTGTTTGTTTGTTTGGGCTTTTAATTACTTGAAGCGTTACACAATGAGAGTGTGTGTCTGTGTTTATGCATTTTATTCTCTTACAAATATCCCTCCTTTAGTTGTGTGAGTCTCAGGCTGTGTGTGTGTTTATGTATGGGTTGGGGGGGGTTATGAGTCTGCGTGCATGCGTCTGTGTACAGTCTGGCCTCTCAGTGTGAAGGTGGAGTCATCTGCTGAGGCATATGGCAAACCACAGCCCTCCCCCAGACAGTGGACCGTAGAAGCACACTTACCAGAAAAGCCATCTGAGACGTTCTACTTAAATGTTTTATCTTGCCTACACGTAAATCACCCTACTTCTTGATTCTCTTCAATCACAACAGCATGGAAACACAATAGTCTACATTGGTTTATATAAAGATATAGGTTGATTCTTAACTTTCAGAACAGCTGTGTTTTCACAACATGCTCTGGCTTCAAGCCTATATACTCAGTGCACAGCGGCCTTGGCCTAGTCAAAAAAGGTAGAGTGGCTAACTAGCAGATGTCAGCTGTGGTGGGAGCGGTCCCCCTGTCCCTCTCCGGCCTGGCCTCCAAACCCTTAATCTGTCCCCTCCCCCTTCTCCACCCTGGGGAGTGAAGTGAATGAGCGGGTGAGGAAGAGGAGAGGGGGACATTTTGGACTGAATCAGGTGTTGGGTGACTAAGCCAACGTGGAGGTAATGAGAGGCTGTTAGGATGGGTATCTATGCATTGACCTTATGATTAGTTTAATTACACTTGGTCTTTGATCAGCTGATCTCACCAAGGTGTGCAGGCTGCTAATTTGAACTTAATGACAACAATGTGTCTGGTACTTTAACAATTTATGTGTTAGCAGAGCTTCTTTCCGCAAGTACCTTTCCTGAGATGTTTATATTAGTTAACGTGGCCTTTTTAAGACTGTCTAGACTAGTGGTAGTGGGCTAGCTGGCCGAGAACGCGCTGGACTCTCTATCCATTATTGAGCAGCTTGGGAAGTTGAGCAACTCACTGAAAGCCTCCTCACAGCGGCCCAGTGCCACAGTCCATCTGAAACATTAATTAGGCTTGTCCTAGCCCGGTCCTCCTCCATCATACTATCGCCTGCCACCACCCCCACAAGTAAACACACACAAACACAAAACACACAGTCGTCGCTAAGATGCATCCATATACACCTCACCTGCTGCTCAGACTAAGTGGTGTCCTGACCTATGCAAATATTTAGACTCAGAGTTTGGACTGGTCAGGCAGAGTTGTTGTGTTGCTACAAAACCACAACTACAGGTTCAGTTGACCTTTGCAAATTTGAATTTAAAGCTGCAATCAGCAGATTAATTGCATCATTGATTAATCTGCTGATTATGTTCTTAATTAATCCTTTAGTTAAGGGAGTATAAACAAATTATGAAAGACGTATATGAAAACGTAGGAGAATTGTCAAAAACCAAAACGTATGTTATTTACTTTCACATAAGACAATACAAAAGCAGTAAATCCTGATTTGTAAAATAAAGTTATTAATTTGTCTTAAAATGTTGTATTTTTCAAAACAGTAAAATATTTGTGAAACAACAGATTTTATTAGCATGTTGTTATTTTTAATTGTTATATTAAAGGTCACCTATCATGCTATTTTTAGGCAATAGCATAGGTCTCAGATATATAAAAATATATAAAAAACATGTCTATGAAGTGTTTTTCTCAAAATACCAAACAGATCACCCATTCTAGCCATGCCTCATATCCCTCTATTTCACTTCCTGTTTCAAAAGTGCTGATTTTGGGTATAAAGCTTTAAAAAAAATAAAGATTGATAAAAAATAAAAAAGGAGGGGGCTGAGCTCATGCGGGACCCGGCAGCTACTGTCTAAACTAAATACTGCGGTGATGAAACGCCATATCATGGATTATCAAGGATTATTTCTGAAACAGTATGGAGCTCAAAGGCTTTCTCTCTTGCCGGTTATACCACAAGGTGAGTTCCTTTTTATTTCCTGCTTCTTCACACACATGCTCTGTGCAGTACAGGTTAGCTCTGAGTGTTAGCGATGCTAATGTAAACACAGACCATATTACGTCCAAAACAGTCGGGCATTGTTTCTGATAGCACCTTTCTGATAGTGCCGTGGGTCCACATTTCTGATATTACGTCATATCGGACGCACATCTGGATCAGCTCTGTTGTACCCCCGTTTTAGAGATTTGGGTACGGAGGAAAAGAGAGAGGGTTTTATTTTACACATATTTATGTATAAAAGACATCAAAAAGTGCATTTTGCATGATAGGTCCCCTTATATTAAATTCCCATAAACTAAGCAGACCTTTTTAGCTCAAAAGCAAATGTTACTTAGTGGCTCTTTATTACAAATTAACATTAGTTTTTCCATCTAAATCTGTCTAATTTTGTTACATAAAATTGTGTTTTTTACACATGTTTAAGTATTTTCAAACAAGAGCATGTACCTACATAATAATCATGAAAAATGCAACTATCAGTTATATTTTATAGTGGAGAAACTGTGCCTGTGTTCAGATAATAATAATTTTTTGGAGCAACACCTGCTTCCAATCCTAGCCTTGGAAGTGTGCATTTATTCTGTCTCATATATAGACTCTACTCTCCAAAGACATTAAACAGAACGAAATACATCTGCCTCCCTCAGAGTGATGTATTGAATTTTGAGTTTGTACACATAATATATCCATTTTCAAAAAAGCAAACAAAAGTACAGAGAGACATACAGCCGAAACCTGATAAGTCAAACATCTGTGATGAAATGATGTTCATCACTAACTGGTTACATGAATTGACTGTGGTGGATTCAATCAAGTTAAGATGCTGCAGGGTAAATGAAGGCTGGCTCTCCCTCTGATCTGTCAGTCAGTGACGGTCAGCTGAGGCTCTGGGTGTTCAGGGGATTTGCACTGATGGAATCTGAGCTAATTGAGCCAGCATATACTTTCATTGCAGAATGGAGGACACTCTAGTTTGAGCTCGTTATCAATTATGAATACGATTTAAAAAAAGATGTAGACCTCCTAAAACTCAAGGTTCTGTGTACCACGTGCATGTCTTGCTGACGTCATTCTGCCTTTCTGCCCCTGCATTGAGCAGCTCTATGACTTTGAAACTTTTGAGTCTTTGCCAAAGAGCCTCATCTTTGTATTCAAGTAAGCACAGAATAATTATTATGGCCTAGACAGACCAGCACAGACAAAGTTTTCGCAGACCCTCTCTCTCTCTCGTACAAACGCTATTGGCCATACTGTACCATTAGTGTTTTAAGAAAATCTTAAAGAGTCTTAGCCAAACTCTTACACTGACTTTAATTGCTGCATTTAAGTGACCTCATATACCCTGTAAGTGCTGGCATCCCTGACTGGTGGGATATGCATACTTTAAAAGTAGGACAAAAATGAAAAGGAAGAAGAAAGAGTGGGGAAAAGACATGAAGGCATGAAAACTGCATTAGGCGGTGGCAGCCAACACAGAGAGAAGGATGTGAATGATTCAAGAGGCAAAAGGTTTAATAATTAAGGACTCCCTCTTTCCCTCCATCCCAGTGTCCCTCTCTCTCACCCTCTTCTGCCTTTACCCTCTGCCTCCACCCTTTTGTATGTTTCTCATTCTTTCTGTCTACTGTATTCGCCCCTGATGTGTCCTCTTTGTTGTCAAGTCAATCACCTAACCAGTAGGGGGAGCCCTCCCCATCGAGCCTCCACTGCTTTCTCCCACTTCCTTTCTGTCCTCCCCCGCTGTGTGCCAGTTTGAAAGTGTGCCCCAACTGTGAGCCTTACTGTAATAATTGTTCTTTCATGAAGTAAAATAATTATGTGTTGCCATTGACTTCATAGGCCACGTTTGAAGATGTATGCCTGATGTAAGGTTTTAGTTCATTTACCTGCCCAAACATCACCTGTGTCACCTATCAGGGCTCTTTCCCCTCATCACCCTCACCTAAGCCTTGGGCAGAAATGACCTGGCCACGGGACATGATGACCTAATTTAATTGCAACACTGATGGCCCGTCAGGAGGCTTTTAATTACCTGCTCATGTTTCTCTCCCTCTCTCTCCCTCCCTCTCTCTCTCCCTCTCACTCACTCTCTCGACCCTACAGGACAGAGCTCTAATGGGCAGCATAACCAGGCTATGTGACAATGCCATAGCCCTGGAATCATTCAAAGGCTCTGAGAGAGAGACCAACCCACTCTACAAAGATTACCATGGTAAGAACACACACACACACACTCGCTTATCTTTCTGTCTCTTTTCCCTCAGATACACACACACACGTACACACAAGCAGTGCATTAAGGCTGGGGCTGGGCTGTGGATGGAGGCAGGGCAGCCCCCTTGCAGGCCAGGCTGTCAGTGCGCGTTAGTGTGCTGCTGCTCAATCAGACGTGCTCCTCAGTAGACAGGCCGGGGGGGATTCAGCTGCCACGCTGTACCCCCTCTCCCTCGCACCCTCACCCACTCCATCCCTGCCTCCCCCCCCTCCAGCAGAGCCTCTCTCCCTCTCGCCTCGCCCTCTCTCCATCCCCAGTCCCATACCCCTGAGGCTCTGGAGCAGAGCAGACCAACACTGGGGAATCGATATTCTCACCATCACTCTCTCTTCCTCTCAGCCTGTATCTCTCCATCCCTCGCTCAATGTCTCCATGGCCAGCATGCTCTGCTAATAAATGGAGGGCAAGGCTTTCAGTAGAGGGAAGAGGACACCAATAAGGGACGAGTGGAGAGACGGAAACGAAGAAAGGGAGGGGGGGGAAACATAGTTTGTCTCTGCTCTCTCCGGCCTCGCCATCACTTTTCTTTTACGGTTTTATCATTCCTTCTTTCTCTTGTTTGCTTCCCTCTTTTCTATCACACTCTCCGCGAATAAAGGTCAGTTTAAGCGAGTGGGGTATTTTTAGCCATGCCTCTCGAACTCTCCGACTCACTCTTGCGCTTTTTCTCTCGTTTCCCTCCCTCCCTCCTCAGGGTTAGACGGCCTCGATTGTGACAGATGAAGGGATGAGGAGTAAAAACATTCAATGGCAGATTTTGGTTTCATCCAACAGCATGTTTTATTTAGATAACACATCCCATAGTGATCACATTCCTCTTCATTGTAAAGGCAGGTGGCATGTAAACGCATGTATTATTTGAGCGTTGTGGGGCATAATTTAAAAAAAAATTGGAGTACAAAAATGTTCTTTGAGATTTGCAATTAATATTGTTTGGATTTCTCGTTCAAGAATATATTTGCCGTCTGTTTAACCAGCCAGTAAGATTCTGGTTGTGTTATGAAATACATTTATGTGCATGATTGTTTTGATGTGTGTTCATGAGTGCAAACGCATCTGGTACGAGTGTGGGAGTGCGTGCGGATGCGCGTGCGTGCGTGTTTGCGGCAGCAGTTCAGGGCTGCTCAAAGCATGCTGGGAAGCCTGTCACTGCAAATCAGGCAAGGGAAAATCACCCAAGTGCACAGAGGAGAGAACCCACCATCCCCCACTTTCTGTGTCTGTCTCCCTTTCTCCATTACTCTCTCGATTTCTTCTTTTCTCTCTCACGATCATTTATACCATCCCACTTCTTTTGTACTTTTCCAGTTTTATTAAAATGTAACTTTGTGGGGACAGGAAAAGTGAAACACAGAGTTAAAAAAGTGCTGCAAAACGTCCCTCTACCCTTTGCAGGAATCCCTGGCTTGTATTTGTGTACTGCCCCTCATTGCTCTACTGTGTCCTTTAATTGGCAAATGTACTTTACAGTACACCCATGCTCCAGCCTGTAGGGAAAATAAAGAGCGTAGGAATAACAATTTAGAAATGTTGTTTGTCAATATCTGATAAGTCATTTCTCTGGTCTAAGCAACTTTGATGCTTAGTGCAGATGTAGGTGTCAAAAGATATTGGTTTGTTTATGACTGTCCTACTACATTCACTCAATTAGACCAGCACACTTTACTTCAAAACTAATAAGGAAAATGTAGTATTGATTTGTGTAAACATCTTTCAAAACTCTTACTATCCAACATTTTGGGATAAGCAGGTGGATTATTGAAAGTTTCCTTTTAAGATGCTGACTTCAGTGCGTCAAATGAAAACAAGTGTTTGTAGATATGTAGAAAAAGCGAAAAAACACTTCCCTTATTATAGTATTTTATCATATTATAATAACGGTTATTTAAAATAAAAATAAAATAGAATACCAATAGCAATTGATTTGTTTATAATTTAAAACAACATATCATCCAAATATGAAATTTAGGAACTCCCTCTCGATTCTATTGGCTCTAACGGTTCAAAAGAGGTGTCAATCATCCAAATCGACCGATGGGGGCCAGAGATATGGCAAATCCACCCATATGACCCCAGAAGTGGGGTTTTTTGTTGCTAAACCTCTCTAAAAAGGTCAAATGTCACTTGTTTTGCATCAATCTTGATACAGGGTACTTATTATATGTTATAGTTTGGATTCCTAAAGCTTTTAGTCTCCTATCCCATCATTCAAGGGTGGTTTTCACGATAAGTAATGGTTTTTCTTTTTGACGGACACAAAATTTACATTTTCTTACTATGTTCAATCTGAATTTACTTTAAAATAAAAAAAAATCTATATTGATTCTGACTTTTCTACATCCAACTCACAGGTTTATCATTGCTTTGAGAAAAAAGATTATTAATGTACCCCTTTTAGAAGGGAAGATATAGTCATTAGCCGCTTTCACACCAAGTACTTTGCCGTACTTAGTGCCGGCACTTAGTACCCCAGGGCACTAAGTATAGATCGCGTTCACACCGGAATAAGTTCCCTGAGGGAAGATTATGCAAATGAGCCGCTGACGTCACTTCGTCTTCTTCTGCTTTGGGTTTACTGGCAGGCCGCAAACAACTTCACGGCGTATACTGCCACCCGAAGTCCCCGGCCGGAAGTCCCCGGAGTTGGGGACTGGCTTCAGTAGAAGCTGCTGGGACTCCCAGCAGCTTCTACTGAAGCCTTCCGAGTAAAACGCCAGAACGCCGACACCTCCTCATCTCCACCGCTCCCATGTTTTATTTTGTGTTGCCATAAGTTATTCTCTCTCCGTTGGTGCGCGGGGCTAATGCTAATAATGCTAATGCCACAAATACAATGGCGGCTTCACAAAACTTTTCAGAGTTTTACGGGGCGTGGTTTGCAATTCGCCCAGCCAATAGAAATTGGTACTTTTTTGGTACTTTTGTGGTACCACCTCTCTAGCAGGCACTAAAAATGGGGGTAAAAGTTCCCGGCACTAAGTGCTCTTTTTGGTGTGAACGCAACATAAGGGGTACTAACGGAACTAAGCGGGAAAAGTACGGGGAAAAGTACTCCGGTGTGAACGCGCCTTATTGTTCTGGGAATGTCATTTTCGAGCCTGAGACCTGAAAAACAGGCTTGGGGCTTAACAGGTTAAGATTATAGTTTTAAAAAAAGAGATAAATCTCTGTCTAAGTTGTATTTTTAAAGACTGTATATTAAAAGACAGACGCAGATAAAAACGTGGACATCATACAACAATACTACTAGAATGTAGTGGTATATTGCTTTTTTGCATTGTTCAGCCCATTCGGTTTTAATATGCTTTCATCGTTTTTCACAGGTCTGATACATGTACGCCAAGTACCTCACCTGAACTGTCTGGCGAGTAAACTTCCTGACCACAAGGACCTGGCCTTCAAGCTCAAGAGAAAACAGTTCAGTATTGAGGTAAGTTGTCAACATTACACAGTCTAGCCTGGATTTTAACATAAACAGAACTTAGTTTTCTGGCGGTTTTATTTTGATGATCTCTCTTAGTCTATTTTGTTGCCCCATTTTATTTTCTCTAAAGTCTTTTTACCATAGCAAATCTTCCCATTCACCATGTTCATAGCCAGGCTGAAATCTAGTGCTGATGGTAATGAGAAGTCTCTCAAGTCAGCCAAGTTCTGCCAACCTTTTATTATTATTGGGTGTCAAAATAAAAGGTGAAGCTATTGATTATACACTGTTGCTGCCACACTTACTTCAGTGTAGTGTCAAGAGGCAACAGGGTGAAACAAATCTCCATCTATATTCATGAATACGCGAGGAAGAAATACTTTTGGCAGTTAAAGTTAAAGGTATAATTCACATTTTATATACAAATAAAAGACTATAAACTAATCAGCAGTAGAGACATACATGCATGGACATGTTCCCAGTCATCATGCCAGACAAAATGAAGCAACAGCAACAAACATGGTTCCACTATCCACTAGCTCTCAAGAGAACAAGCTTTGTACGGTAGTTGCTGCTTACTTTCTCTGGCAGGGCTCTGTTCATTCACTCCACAGCTGGCAACAGCCGTGACCTGTTGAGAAAATGAAGCAGTAGACAGTTGCTTTACCTCATGCTGCAGCCCACCATGACAGTGTAATCAATGGTTTTATGTGGAAAAGTGGCCAGCCAAACACTACTTAGGATGGATGCAAGACCAGAAGATTACACAATTTGACATATTGCTTCATATCCCTCCAATTCATAGTTTGACTTCTCTACAGTTGGACCACAAAACACTGCAGGGCTAAGTTAAAATGGGCGTTGTGATAGTCATACAAACAGTGCGTGCTCACTGAAAGGTAACAATAGGTAAAGATGTCGAATTTGGCATACATTTATTTTATACTAGATGTGAGAAAAAAGAAAAGTGAGGAGAACAGGAGCAAGTTGGAGAGTAATATCCCTATGAATAGAGGCAAATAAGTATGTCTGTATTCCCAGGATTAGACAGTTCATCTGCAGTGAGTTTTGCGCAATGCCTTAAATGTACCATACCGTCCAGCCATAAGTGCTCCGAAAGTAACTTAATGGAATCAGATAACTAATTCATACCATGCTGTGAACTATGGTTAAGCATCAATACAGTGGCATCTCTTTGAAAATCCCTTCCCATCCTGTGAGATGATGATGATGTTGCATGACTTATTCCTAACAGGTGCTGTATTTTTTTTAAATCATCTGGAGCAGAGAGAGGAGCTGTGGATTATTGTTATTGATTAATGCATCAGTGTTTCTTAGGGTCATAAATACTAAACTCACAACTTAAAATGAAAGCGTTTAGTTTATTTAATAAAAGAGCACATATTCAATGTGAAAAGTGACAGTAGATATAGATTAGTTGCAATTTGGTGCTATATATATATAAAAAATAATAATAATAAAAAGAAAATATATCTTTTTATCTTTTTTTTTTTTAAATAAAATTCAAGGTAACACCTTGAATTTCAGGGGGCGCGCGGGGCTCCGCCAAAACAATGGTAGTGGAAACACTGCTGTTTTATATATTTGAACTGAACTGGAGCACTGCTGACTCTAGCTACATTCATGACAGCTGCTGGCCTACGTTGCCTCTGAGAGGGCTTACTGTATCTCATTTTGGTGACTCCAAGAAGAACAGGGTGAAGGCGGTGAGGCCTGGAAACAGCCTCAACATCCCTGGCAGAGCACAGCTGCTGCAAAGGGAGATTGGGCAGTGTGTAATGGTGCACAAAATGGACATGTGCAGAGGTTTCGTTCATCAAGGGTATATGATGCAAACATTAGCGCTCATCATGGTGGCACCACCATGTGTTTACCGTTGACTTTCCCCTTAAGATTAGTTAGGCTCTCAGCATGTTTCATAGTTATCTACCACAATATCCAAAATGTTTTCTCTCTCTGTATTGATTGGGAGTATATATCCCAATACAAGCACCAGTACAACGGGCACATGCGGTTCTACAGCTTGTTCTGAATTGTGCTTGAGATCCCATTGAAAACTGGCCTCACACATTGTTTTTAAATGTTCATTGGAAATTATAGGGTGCAAACATTCTGCATGTAGGACTATTTCACAATCACCTCACAGTTTAATAAAGTTCACTACAGTTCACTTGTTGGCTATTTTCTTCATTCCCTGTTTGTATGAACATTCATTTGGGTAGCTATGTTTGCTCTGTCTGTACAGAGCAACATAGACAGAGCTTACACACAGAACTGACAGATTGTGCGGCCTTTCAATTTCTTCATTCATTATGATTTATTAATTCTTATCCTCTTTCTCTTTCTCTTCCTGTCAGAGACACATCCATTTTGCATGTGTCACATCATCAGTCTCACTCAGCGCAATCAATCTGTCACTGAACTACCACTCTACAGACAAATTAAGGGGCCCTCCTCTTAGCTCAGGCTCATGATTGGTCCTCATTACATTATCATTACCTTATCACACCCTCTGGTCCTTGGCTCTTAGTGAGTCCTATTGTTTCAGCAGGAGGTGAGGGGGAGGAGAGGAATGCCCACCCCCCTAAACCCTCTCCGCATCCTACGGTCAAACCCCTTCTCATTTTCTGCCAGCCTTCACCATCCTTCTAACCCTTTACTCTGGTCTGCATTGGTCCGCTCCCCCCTCCTTGCTCTGACCCCCTGAATAGGCCACTCTAGTATAGATTTATATGGTTCGTAAAAGTCAAGGTGGTTATCCTCAATGGTCTTTTAATTAGGCTTCTGTATTGGTCAGGCCAGGGGGCAGAGGCCTAGAGCATCCCTGTAGCTCTGTGGGGCCTGGATACTGTGTCATATATCCCAGCAGCACATTGTAAAGACCAAGCTTTGTCTGCCTTCCTTCTTCAAGGAGCTTTATTGGAGTTTTTTTGTTGAATGGCAACCATACTCTTGTATTGACCTGATTCACATACCATTAAAATAGTTATATCCAGAGGACTTTTCATAATCCAAAACGGCTGATAATGTTGACACAAGAGAGTACATGATCTGAAATGTCAATCACAATCCTTGGCCATGGCATGTTTTATGTCTCAGGGAAATTCCCATAGAACATTGCATGATATCACCAGTCAAGCGTCAAATCAGTCAAAACACATATTGCAATAGGCAATTATTTTCCCGTGCTGGGTTCTGTGGCTTTTTGATTGACTGTCATTAATTAGTACATCACTTTACTTTGAGATGTCACAAAGGTATGAGTGCATGTTGGCTCTGCTTCCCTGGTTACACAGGTTGGATTATACCAGTTTACCTGTGTATGCCTTGCATGCCGGACTGCTGTTGTGCTCTGACTACGTGGCTCAGCGTATACTGTGTTTGACCTGTTGGTCAACTGCTGGTGGGCCACTGATTGACACATGATTGGATTTTAAGCCCAGTGTCTGGTGTGTGACAGCTCACACCATCCCTGCTAATCACCTCATTTACTCAAACTACAGGGCTCCTCACCCTGGGGCCACATAATACAACATTTTCTTACCAAGTGCTCACAGTCTTTCTTCTTCCTCATATCTGTTATGGTAGTGATGGATCAGTTCTTCAGCTTTGCCCCCTTCTTTCAACTTTTGACTTTTGACCAAAATTGTAATTGCTCCGAATCAAGCCTCACTCAGATGTTTATCAGCATCATATGTGGATTCATTTGTGATGTTGTGGTTGCAGGTGACAGGTGATTGACAGTGGTAGCTTCTCCCCAGGTGGGTCACGCAGCTACATGACACTCCCAACTGTGAATGGAGTCATGCTGGTAACTAATTTTTTAACTGCTGTTTGACTCAGGCTCGTTTTACGTAGCGCCTCAGGAATGCCGAAATATTTATTTGACAGCACACAGAGTACAAGTTTTGTCAAAAAACTAATATTTTGTGTTTGGCTACTGTAATAATTCACTTTTTTTCTAATTCAAAAGGTTTTAGTAGATTATATCCCAGCCTCACACTCAGCACCATCATCAAGGTTCTGTTGGTTCGTGATAAGGTTACCACGACAACAGTTGACGTTTCCAAGAGTTCACACTGCGGTTGATGAGCAGTTATTAGCCATAATGCCTAAAGCCAGAATTAACCCATGGCCCTGTCTGAGCAGGTAGGGGAGTGTTAGGTGTTTAGACAAGATTAACAGATACTCATAGACACACAAACATTGCTCACTCCCACACATAGCGATATTGACATTCATGCAAAGACAAAAGCACATACTTATTGAGAAACGCAAGCACATATGTGACACGCAATGCGTGTGAGAATTTTCTCACTCTTATTAAACACAGACTTCTGTCACTGCTTTCACAATGCAAGATGCTTTGAGGATGAAGCTCTGAAGAATGCAGATGGTACGCAATTATATTCTTGTTACCTCTGTCTGACCCTTTAAACTGACAGCTAATGTGCCTATGGGGTACTGGGGTGCCAGAGGCAGGTCAGAGGGTCAAATACAGTATAAGACGGGGATTTATGTCAAATTAGTCTTTGCCTAGACGGGCTATTTAGAGGTGTCAGTGACAAGCTCTGTCACTTAAAAGGGTATTTTAGTCTGTACAAATGTATTGACTATAAGGAAAACTGTACTCCTGGAAACTTTCAGTCATATTAGGACGTTTGTTTAACATTTTATGCATTCATTTTAAAGACATCATTGGAGAAAGTCAGTAAGAAGAGATCAGTGGAGGATTAGAAGGATGATGAAGGTACTGGGCCCTGACTCATATTCAAGATCTCGCTGTGCCTTTTGCCACATCGATTAATGGTGGTTATTGTAAATGACTATTTCTGACTCATTAGTACAGTTCAAATCAACATCCAAGTCTGAATTTAAAACAGAATACTATATATTTTAGATATCTTAGGTTAAAAAATGTACAACTTTTTCCCACAATGTAGCACCTCGTCATCATTCAAGGTGCAACCATGGGTCAATCAAAT